TGAAAGGTTGAATCCTCCAAGCATTAAGGAGACAAATGCTCTTTAGCCAGTGCTCTCCTAATAGCTGGGTAGTAAAATAAGCTTTTTATACACAATTTCTTCTCTGCTCCCTCATCACTGCACTGCACTGCACTGCACACTGCAATGCTTGTCTCTCCAGATTTAAAGGCCTCTATCTACAATAGAATTCAATAGATAGTGATTGCCTTTGCAGGTGCTTTTATATAGTTTCTCAGCTTGCAAAGGCTGTTTCAGGTGGATTCTGGGTAGACTGATGCCAGTCTATATAAATGGGAAATTTGAGCAACAGCTGCCCTTAAGAAGAGGGCTGCCAAAAAGCCTTCTGGGTATGCTGTGCTTGAAACCAGGACCAAGCCTTTTCTGAATCCCTGTTCAAAACATAGGGCTTTTCCTTGTTTGTGTGGATGGAGAATTTCCCTCCTGACCCCTGTTTTGTTCTCTAATTAGGACTGATTAGTGCTTCCAAATGCATAATATAGCATCATAGCTCTTTCTTATACACCTGCGTGTGGCAGAACAAAGTCAGCCAGCAAAGAAAAAAAAAATGATGAAGTAATTATGTTAATTTTAATAGCTTTGTAGAAACTCTGAAAAATCATAAAGCACTGCTGCCCCTGGTGCAATCAAGCAAAAAAAAAAAAAGGAATGCTTCACCTGGTGCAATCAAGCAAAAAAAAAAAAAGGGGGGGGTAATGAATTATCAAATTTGCAAGTCATAAGGGAGCCTGAGCATAGCATTTTGTGGTGCAAACAGAGACACCCATTAATTACTGAACTATTTCCACAGTTTCACTATGCATAGTCTTGTTATAGCTGCAGTGTCCTAAAGCAGGGATGGGGGAGGAGGGGGTTATTCTCCTTCACCAGACAGGGAGTTTCACTGTGAGTAGCTTCCACCACTGCCTTATCTCCAAGATAAATGCCATATTTAGCAGCCTGAAGGCCTTCTGTCATACAAAGCTTTCTAAGCAAGGGAGGAAGTCAGTGCACTGATGAGTCAGATCTCCATCAGCTGTTGGGGGCTGGCAGAGAATCAGTTCCTCATCTTGCCATGCAGTGTGGGATTTGGGATTGTCTCTCTCAAGTGGCAGAATGACGGCACCCATTCACCCTCATTGATGTCTGCTCTTCTTCAGGGTCAGGTCCAATTAGTGCAAATTTGATTTGCCCCGGACTAATCACGGATGATATATTCTAGCAGAGTCCTCCACAGAAACGGTGCTGGGTGTATCCCTTCTCCCACCTCTTCAAAAGATGGGTGCATTTCAATGCTGGCAGTTGGGGGGGGTTCCTACTACAGGATGCATTTGCTAAGCATTTCAATTTTTTTCCGGAGTCAATAAGGCATGATAGATTAAAAAAAACAAAAACCAAAAAAAACCAAGCATCCCCACCAGAATTACTGCTCTGCTACCAAGGTGTTTGCATTATATGCAGAGTGTAGATGCATTTTAATATTTGGGGCAGGCACAAATAGCCTAGCTTTTTCTGGTAGAGCTTGAAGTAGGAGAAAATAAGCTGTTTAAAAAAAAAAAAGAACAACAAAATAATAAACTGCAGAAATTCTTAACACCTCTACTGAAGAGGAAGAGATGGAAACCTGTTTAATGCCGTTACAAACGTTTAGGCAATAGTGGATTCTGCGTTTGCAGCATCTCGCCATTTAGATCAGAAGTGCAAAAGGCAATTAAATTGTTTTTAATGAAGTGAGTTTTGATGGAAGAAATGGCTCTTCCAGCATTCCCCCTGGATTTGCAGATGGGTTGTGTGGGCAAAGCTGACAATTTGCTTCAAAAAGGAAGAACGGTGGAACAAGCAGGCTTCAGAAACACCCAGCACTCAGGCCTGTGTATGGGACGGTGGCAACTGGAAGCATAAATATAGGGCTAGAAGAGATGCAGGAGGTCTTCCAGTGAGCTCTCTACTTCATATCAGGATCCTTCTTGTCTAAACCAGTCCCGGGGAGTTTTTGCCTGTCCAGCAGCTAAAAGAGACCTGTGATAGAGATGCTGCAGCTTCTCCAGGGAATCTGTTCCAGTGCTGAACCACCTGTGGAGTTGCAAGGATCTTTCTACTATGTAATCTAAATCCATCTTGTGATTTAAGCCTATTACTTCTTGCCCTGTCTTCTCTAGACATATGCAATTACTATCTGTTTCCTAACAACCCTTTTTGCAATTGTAGATGGTGATTATTGCACCTTCCCTAGTCTTCACTTCCCAAGCTTCAGTTCCTCCAATCTATCTATCTATCTATCTAGATACTTCCATTGCATTGAGAATATATAGAAAATGCTTCTACACACACACACACACACACCCCCCCCATCTATCTAGATAGATAGATATGCATGTATGTGCATATGTGTGTATGTATGTGCATATGTGTGTGTATGTCTAGAAGCATTTTCTATATATTCTCATTGCAATGGAAGTGAAGTGAAGCAATGAGCACTTTCCACTCTCCATGACCGACCGAGCACAAACAGGCAGACAACAGTTTTGCTAAGCATGATTTATTTCCATGCATCTCAATGGGCTGTTAACTCTGGTGCCTAACAACAGCTATTAATTAGCATGATGATTGAATCCTTGTTTAGATCTTCACAGGGATATTCAGATGCTCTGGGCTTGCAGATGGGGTTTGGGATGTTGGCCAAGGCTTTGGGTATAGCACGCTGAGTATTTTCCCATCCTGCTGCCCCACAGAGTTGGAAAACCAGTGTCAGGAAAGAAAAAAAAAAAAAAGAGCTGGCAATTAGAGGGAGGTGCCTTACTCTCAGAGAGAAAGCAAGGAAGTGCTAATGGATACTAAAGTCAAGGCGGAGGTATTGATGGAGCGGGCTCTATTTAGAGTTGCATTTGAGGTGCCCAACTCCACTTGGGACCCGCATTGGGGGTCATTGGAGTTAAAAAGCAAGGATAAAGAGGAAGAGATAACATGGCTGCATTACCAGATGATAGCCAATCCCACAGGCTTCCTCATCAGACCTCCCTGTTTAAGGGAAAGACCTGGTATTTCCTCACTCAGCCTTGAGCTGCAGTAGGAGGAGGAGACTGGTGCAGGTGCTGGGTGCACATTAGTCCTGAGCACTGGACACTGGTCAGAGCCATGCTCTGTCTTCAGTGTGCATCCTCACCGAGCTCGGCAGGCATTGTGGTTCAGACAAAAACACATGAATTGTGGCCTACAATTGGAGAAATGGGAGCAGGAGCTATTGCAGATGCTCAAGGGGGTGCCGGTACCTCTTTGGGTACCTCTTTGGGTCATGAGCTTCCCCAGGACTGTAGTAGATCCCTGCAAGAAGAGCGATAGGACCTTCATTAAAGCATGGGATGAGCTTTTGGGAATGCAGGTTCCATTGTATTTCTCTACACGAGCCTCATCAATACCTGTTTGTGCCTCTATTTCCATCTGTAAAATGGGCTGATTGTTTTGTCTCCCACCTTTTAGCTGTCTTGTCCACTTCAGCTCTTGACGATAAGGCCAGCCTGACATTTTAACAGCACTTAACACAATGGGACTGCAGTCGGACGAGGCGTCCCGGCTTTACTACACTGCAAATAACCAGTAGTGCACAAAGTGGCAACAATGCCCTCCTCTAAAAGGTTATTGTGTCTCTCGAACCCATGCAGCGTTACTGATTTATCTATCAATAACATTAGCCATATCAGTCACTAGCCGTGTTGAATCTGCCCTGCCCCAAAGAGATAATCTGAGTCTCTCTAATTGCGTGTGTAGGTGTTATGGATTTATAAGGGTTTCTATTCCCTTCCTGGGAGAAAGTAACATTTGCAAAAGTCAATGTGGGTGAACATTAGCAATCTCTGTCCGTGTATATTTTTTTTCAGCGCTGGATTACACACTGTCAATAACACCAGCTGGGTTATGACATTTTGAGAGAGGGTGAGGTTTTTTTCCTTTAATCACAGTAAATGTACCCAATTGCATAGAGGGAGGGAAAGCTGCGGCAGAACTGGCTGGCAAGTCGAAAATGCTCGGCAGCCCTGTTATAACGTGAGCATCACCATATATCTGCTCTACCCCATTCGCCTCGCACGTATCCCGTACAGTTGCACTGCCAGCCCATGCAATGAAGCCATAAACCTTCCAGGAAACCCACACTCTCCGATTTCAGGCTCGATTCGGTCAAATGGGACTGATTCGAAAGCAGGAGATGGGGAAGGAAAACCTTTTAAACTATCCCGAGTGTGATAAATAGCACAGGGAAAATCTGCAAATGCCTTGAGTAAACCCAATGCCGCTGAAACCTTTGCTTTTTGCATTCATGATTTCAGGACTAAGTGCCTGCTTCAAATAAGCAACGTAGCCAGTAGGACTCTTAGCACCATCCTAATGGAAGCTTTATTTTGTTTTTAATTGCACCACGGGCTGATTTAGGTGTCTGGGGCTCTTGTTTGCTTACAAGGAACGATTTATCAGATGGCGGGTCAGCGGAGAATCTGCATCAAACCCACTCACTGTCTCCTGCGCTTGTTTATGAGCCTCCTAGCTTTCCTTTCCAGCGCTGCTGCAGCCCAGGATGCGAACGGGGGTTGGCACTTGTGAAGAGAGAGGCGGTGTGGGATGAAACCCAGCTCCTGAACATTGCTGGTTTGAATGTAGGCCAGGCTGGTGGTGTAACTACCTCTAGTAATAAGCTCATTAGACCCTCACTAGAAATCTGCATTAGCTTTTTGGCAATGGAGCAAAATAGCACATACACAAGCCAGTAAAAGTTTGAGAGGGGTTTGCTTCCTCCTCCTGCCCCCTTTTTTGCACATATGATTACCCAAGTGGTCTCCGTCCAATATCTGGCGTACTTAGGTGTGTGTGTGTCATTAAACTCATCATCCTACTTGGTAACACAGGCCTGGGTTTGCAGTTTGCGGCTTTTAGTTCTGCGCTGTGAAAAGCGTATAGGAAGCAAGGAAAACAGAGATGATGCATCCAAAGCACTATTTTTATTTCAACTAATTCTCAGGTTAAACAGTTGGCAACAGAAGATGTACAGCAATGAAATAATTAGCCGAGCAAAACATCCACTACACTGCAATTTAATGACTCCTCCATACAATGCAGATCAGTGTGTGTGTGGAGTGGGAGGAATAATAATAATAAAAATAAAAAAAAGCCTGTTTTCGGTTTCTAGCACGTAACATTTCCCCATTACCTGCAGTGAATTAAAAGAAATAAAGAGCGCAGCCTGCAGAAAGATGATTCCTCCACATGGTTTGTAGTGTACTGGAAATTATAGAGTCCGGTGCCTACATTTCAGAGGTCTCCATCCCTCACCGCTCCCTGTGGTTTCCATTGCAATGATGGGTAACTCTGAAACCCAGCCCCTAAGCAACAGTGCAGGGTTTATCATTAAAAAGGAAAGATAATACATTATATCCTATGCCATGCTCTTTTAGGTAGCACCTTCATACAAAGGACTGTTATAGATAGATAGGCCCATTCCAACGGGACTATGCATGGGTTTAAAATACTTGCCGGTCAGCATATCAGGTGATGGAGTTACAATAGCAGAAGAGAGGTGATACTTAAAGAAAAATGCTGTACTTTTGATCTGAGATTTTCCTCTGGCTGATTCAGCAGAGATGCTGCAGCCTGTTTTTGTAGAATGGGCTGTGGGATTGGGCTCTTCTGCTCCCATGAGCATCCCAAGGGTGCAGAAGAAGGGCTGAGGTTTGCTTGGTACTCGCACGATAGCATCGCAATGAAATGCTGCCTGGTTCTGCCAGTATGCCCCATTTCCCTTTCTTCATAAACACACACCCCGCTTTCCTCCCATGTGTATAAAAACATTACTGGTTAACAACGCGAGAAGCAGATCATCTGGCTGCTGATTTCAAGCAGGCCCTAAAGATATCCACTGGAGTGGGGTCATTACCATACTGATACACATGTGTGCGCTTCTAAGAGAGGAGATAGTAATAAGCCTCACCAAAGCATTGAAGGCCCGTAGCCAAGAGGTGGCTACTCTATGGCTGGCTTAATTAAATGGCCATTGAAGATGATGTAGACATCGGACTCCTCGCTATAGATGGCGTTCTCTCTCTCCCGCTTAAACATCCTCACCCAGACCTCATCCCCCTCCTGTAGCTCCAACATCAGGCTTTGGCTCTGCATGATGCTCCGATCACTGGGCTGGGCGTAAAGGATGGCCACTTCGTTGTCATTCTTCATTAAGTGCAGGTAGGTCTCTTTGAAGTTCCAGGTATGGACATTCAGGTTGAAGAGGTAGATCCCCGGCACGTAGCAGAAGAACTTCCCCATGAACATGTTGAAGTGTTTGTAGAGGTTGACAAACTCAGTGTCAAAAGTGACGTGCTCAAAATAATCGGCGCTGTGGAGAGGCTTCCTCCGGCCCACCGAAAAAGCAGCGTATAGTTGTTTGCAGGAATGGCCTGATGGGCCAGACTGGCCTTTCTGACCTTTCTGTCCGTTATAACCACGTAGACCTCGTGCTCCCTCCTTTCCAACTGCTCCAGGATTTCCTCTGTCTCCCATCTCCCCTTTTTCTCCTATAATCACAAAGGACTTGTTTTCAAAACCGATGCATTTATAACACGGGGCACAGACACATCTGGATGGAGGCAGGCAGCCAATATTCAAGCACAAACACATCTGGATGGAGGCAGGCAGCCAATATTCAAGCATAAACACACCGGGATGGACACAACCAATGTTCGACCCGATAAAAATGCTCCAGGTGCCTTCAGGAGTTCTTGTCATTCTTAAATACCCATCTAAATCTGAATTTTGCACCATCCTTATCCCAACTCCCATAAGGCCATGCTGCTGGGTGGCCCATGTTGATTACCCAGGAAAAAAAGGAGCCCCCTTTTAATTTTGCATTATTTTTAATGGCCAAAATTATTAAAAGGATTAAACTATAGAAGTCAAGAACATGTGTAAAATGTGACAGGAAGTGAAGGTTACAGTACTATTTTCTGTTTAGTTAATTAGGCGATAGTCTTTCTTAAAAAATGCAGGCAAAGTATGAGAAAAATTGTTCATCAAACTTCTGGTCCCTACTATCCAGAATTTACCTTCCCCATGTTTGCATCTCTCTGCGCTGCAAAATCTAAGCTGTCTTTATACAAATATTTGCAGAAAGCGATTTTTTTGGCTCATACTAGAGCTAGATATAGTTACACAACTAAACTCATTTCAGAGAAGTAGTTTACAAGGGAAGTTAGACCAGGGAAGATAGGGATAGATGCACCAGTTGAATTTAGGTGACCAGTACCAAATGCTGAGAGAGGGTGACAAAAACAAAGGACAGACAACACGGGATGAAATCCTGACTTCACTGGACTTCTGTGTTGATATGCAAAAATCGACTTTGTTTCATATATCTGACTCAATGACTAGCATATACACAGAGGAGAAAGGGGAGATGCTATGGATGTGACTGATGTGGAAGAGAACAGGATGCCAACATTTTAGCAGAGGTTTTCAAGGCAGAAGGGACCCCCGATGACCCTCTAATCTGTCCTGAAGCAGGACAGCCATCATTGAACCCACCCACTATCCCCTGCATGAAGCCTTGGATTTCTATCTGTGTTATACCGTGTCTTTTTAGAAAGAGACCCAATTTTGATTCAGGAGCCTCTGAGTGAGTTGAGAGTCCATTAAATCTTTCATTCCATCAGTTATTTGCCCTTGCTGTAAAAATCTTTGGACCGTCTGAATTTGTTCATCTCGAACTTGAATCTTTTCCCTCCTGTTATCTGGTACGTTAAAGACGTAGAAAGTACCTCCTCCACCTATCGGTGCCAATGGACAGGGAGTAAGTTGCCACTGGTGCCTCTCTTGGATGAACTATATATGTTGAATTACTGAAGTTTATGGGTATTTTCCTCTCTAGAGGAGGAACTGAGGTTATGAAGTTATGGTCGATAGGCCAAATGTAGAAGAGGATTCCCCTGCTACCATGCTTTACTCACCTTTCAGGATGGTGATGTCTATAGTGGGCCGGACTTTGGGTACCGAATAGGCAGGGTCATTGCTCATCCTCGCGTACCGCGAAGAGGACACTGAGACAGGCTGCTCTGAAGGGCCGCAGCATCGCACACACGACAGCCGCCGGACTTCCCGTCTTGGCGAGCCCTTTTCTAGCAAAGCGCCCACGTTCACAATGGATACCAAGAGCATGAGAAACAAGGCACTCATCTTCAACTCAGCCGGCTGGAGCAGGGAGAGTAACAGTAATGATTAATGGGATGATTCAACCCAGGGCAACCGATGGCCATCTGTCTGCTTACCACAGGGCGCACTTATTATTTATGCTATTGTCGTAGCATCAAGAGGTCCCCATCAGGGGTCAGGCCTGATCGTGTTAGGCGCTGTACATGCAAACAGCAAAAGGCCAGTCAGTCTGCAGCCACCAGGACAATGATGTATATACAGGGACAGAAAAATAACACCCACCGTTTTGATTAAAAACTCGTTTCAATTTAGGGGGCATAGATTGCAGCCTTGACGGACTAAACCCCCGTCACGTGTACAAGCGCCCGTAGTGGTCACAGCACACCTACAGCTTAGCCACTGCTCAATCAGTGCTTGCAATCAGCATTAGATGAAAAGCAAAGTATTAATGTAATAATAATCATTTTTGTTTTTTACCATTCCTAATTACTGTAATTCCTTTAAAAAAAACCAAACAATAAAAGCAAATATAACACACATAATTCTCCAGAGTTTTTAGGGGAAATGTAAATGTAGGAGGGTATGCAACTATACAGTTTCCCTGGCAAATCTTCCTTTTAGCCTTTTGTTAGATAACTGCTTTAACACTGAGTTAATTGGTCAAGCAGGGCTTTTTGATTATATCTGTTTTCCTTCTCGGCCGAATTTCTATGTAGGCTTCGTATCTGAATTACTAAATTAGCCTGCTGGAAAATCAGAGAGTCGCTGTGAATGTGGACGTTAAGTAGCAATGGCTTTGCACAAACACTGGTTCTGGATTTTTAATGATGGTTTTCTACAGTATTATCTGAAGGCTCCAAAGTGCTACATGGAAATGCAGAGATGCAATAGATGATGGCTAGGCAATCACTTGTCTTCTATGTCTTTCTATAGACATGTCAGTCGTTTCACCAGGAATTCATTGCCCGCTCCACTGGTTTTCATAACGCTTCACCAACTCACAGTTGCAAAGGTTCTGGTCTATAGTTTTCTTGTTAAAAGTGATGCCCTTTTGGGGCCTGATCCAGAGTCCGTATAGTCGAAGCAAAGATTCTCACTTTGTCAGACACTTCACAACTCCCAATTTTGCAGCAGGCTGTACTGGGCGTTAGCGGGGAGGTAGGGGAGGTGATGGCTGGCATGATTTCCAAATACTGCCAAGATTTCAAACCATGGTAAGCCAGGCTGCGGTTTCTCTGGGCTGGGAACTATGGATACAGAACAGATTGCCACTATGGGAAATAGCCTAGGATCATAGAAAATTCAGGTGGCAGGGAGCTCAGGAGGTCGCATCTAGTCCAAACCCCTGCTCCAAGCAGGACCAGCCCCAGCTGCATCATCCCAGTCAAGGCTGTGGCAAGCTGGGTCTTAAATACCGCCAAGGATGGAGGCTCCACCATCTTTCTAGGTAACTTGTTCCAGTGCTTCATCACCCTCCTAGTGAGAAAGTTTTCCCTAATATCCAATCTCAACTTCTCTTGCTGCAACTTGAGCCCATTGCTCCTTGTCCTGCCATCCGCCCCCACTGAGACCAGCCCAGCTCCAGCCTCTTTGCAGCCCCCCTGCAGCGAGTTAAAGGCTGCTATTCAACCCCCCTCGGTCTTCTCTTCTGCAGATTAAATAAACCCAGTTCCAGAGAAGAGAAGACTGAGAGGGATGTAATATCTGCCCTTTGGACTATAGGCACTTTATAGGAGACATCCTGCTCGGGTTCTGGCTTTTGACTTATCACAAAGAATGAGATGCTCACTTTTTATTTTTCTATCGTACTTCTGTTGAACTCACTGAGAGCCCTGTCAAATGCTTATTAGCATGCTGGACTATTTATAATCATTAGCATGAATAATAATAATACCTTTTCATTTGAAAGCAATGAACAGTTTTCTACTGACTGTAGAATAATTGTGATGGTGCTGGTCACAATGCAACAGAAATCTGATATTGGGTGTAAGTTTTTGGGAAGTTAACAGGGTTTAATATGATGCAGTTTGAGGCCAAAATTCTCATTCATGCAGACATCCTTTTACACCACTCTGGAATGAAATTAGGTGTGCATTCGGTCTCCTTATATTGCCAGATGAATGTACAGGGGATGAAAGCAAATTTGAAAGAGGATCCATATCGACAATCTATTTGGGTAGTATGTCCTACTTACATGGTACATTTTTAATGATGGATTCTCTGTTTGCAGACCACAAGTTTCTAGGCTTGTTTAGGTCTGGTCTAAAGTCAAGAGGACAATTAGCTATGTTGTCATATAAAGAAACCCCCCCAAAACTAAATCTATTGACTGTTCAAGACCCGATTTTATTTCACTTAAAAATGGTTGACTTTTTCATGGTTTTGGCCCATAAAGCAGTAACCCTGGGGACACGTGGTAGAACATTGCATCGTTTTAATCTCAATGCATTAGGCAAAGGAGGCATAATTGTTTTTCTTCCTGCTTGTATTGCTCTCATCAAGGAGAATCAGAGTATTCATTAGGAAAAATATTTCTGATTTGGATGTAGTTGGATTCATAAATGTAAAGATATTAGTTCTTGTTTAAAGCACATAGTTCAGATTAGAACGGTGATTATCTCTAAAAGGATCAACATACATGTGCTGGGCTTTTTTCCTTCTCAAAACAATAAAAAAAAGGGAAAGTTATTCACTCAGGGACTATTTAGACATTTAGGTAAAAGAGTGGTGTTTGGGGTCTACACAGAAATAGATCTCTCTATCTCTCTATCTATTGTATGTTAGAGAGAAGTATTATGATAATTACCCACAGGGGAAATTATCAAAATCCACGATTTTTTCCATGATTCATGAAGCATCAGGATGTGCGGGGGTGCAAGGTGGGCAGGTTTGTTTTCCTCTGCTTTGGGAAAACCAGTCTATTGAGCGAAAAAAAAAATCATCTATGGCCTATAGCTCTTGGAAATCAAAGCAAAAATGCTTCCTTTAAGGGTCTTGAATTTTCACATCTGCGGGTGTGTAAGCATGTGTGGAAACCTTTATAATTGGACATCTCATGGACTCTACGTGTGGTTGAAGCTAAGGCCACTGTGGTGTCGGAGTATGCATGTGAAAATAGATTGTCATATGCCGACAAAGAACTAGGGAAAGGAGATAAAAATAGAGAGAAAGCAGGTAGGGGAGAGCAGCAAAGAGAGCACGGCGGGGGGAGAGGACAAAACCTCACGGTGCAACACTTGCAAAGTTGCATTTCAGAGCACAGTTACAGAGCAAGCAAAGGGGAAATGGAAACCAAGGGAGCAAAATGAGGGAATGAAAGCGAAAACCCACATGGGATTAGAGGGAAAGAAAGGGGAAAAAGAAATAGATGGACTCAAAATGGATTAGAGAAGAAAAGCACGTCTGCAGATCAGTGGGAAAGTCCGGGAGGCCTGGAGGAAACGCTGAAATGGAAAATGCAAGAAAAAGACAACCTAAAAATGAAGGTAGAGCCCCTAACATAACACTGGTGATGAAAATACGGGTGGAAAGGGGAGATGTGTTTTTCATTAAAGACGGTTACCGAGATCTTACTGTACCAAGCACAACGCTAACCTTTTTCTTCCCAATGTGGCAGATTTATCACCTTCGCAAGACTGTGAACGACAAACTCTGATATGTTCTGCCAGCACCTCCGCTTACACTAGAGGAAAGATCTGGCAGGTTGTGTCTTCAGCAAATGATTCAAACTCCAACACGGGGGGAACATTTGTCCTACTTTTTCATACTGATCGGATGTGCTGGTGTGTGTCTAGAATGATGTATTAGTTCAACGCTGAATGCCTGGAGATGGCAGAGCTGATCAAATTCCTGCTTGGTCATCCTTTGGGGTACTTCTCCAGGGAGAGGGCGAGACATTTCCAAAGATAAAGGACAGAAAAAGAAACCTAAGATATAGTTTTCAGTGCAAAGAAACTGTACGTGGTAAAGAAATCTTAGCATCCCAAAATATTTCGGTGTAGGATTGCGGTTTTCTTACTGAGTTGAAAGCTCTGAAATGGGACCACATACTTAAGCAAAACTGTGGGGTGGGGGGGGGAAAGCAGGCAGACCCTGTTTTTCCATCCTATGACAAATTTAGAGACATTACCTAATTGTTCCCAATAATTGCACATAAAAGATTAAATTAAAAAAATACGTTATGAAGTGACAAAAATAAAACGTGGGTCCAGGTCAATCTCAAAATATTTTGTGCTGATAACATTGAAAAAAGTCATTTTGATTTCAGCTATGCAGGGGGCTGGTCCCAATTATCTCCCAAGGTCCCTTCCAGCCTTACAATCTATGAACTATATTGGGGGGATGAATTTTTCTATGCTCATTAGCTTAAAAGTAAAAATGAAAGGGCATGTCACAGATTCACAGAAGTTTAGGGCTGGAAGGGACCTTGGGAGATCATCAGGTCCAGCCCACTTGTTTTTTCTACATTGAATTTTATATTTAGAAAATGTAAAAAAATAAAATAAAATGTAAAAAATAAAAAAAGTACACTTGTTGATTGTTTTGTTTCAAAACCTTTTCAAAATATTTTCAGCGGGGAAAAAAAAAAAAAAAAAAGAATTGCCCACACTGACCTTTCCCCCCCCTCCAAATTTTGTCATCTAGTGAATCAGTATTTTTCAATAAAATCATTTAACCAAAAAATTCCTGATTGGCTCTTCTCATCCATTGTTATATCACCGATTGATGGCCACAACGTTCACAACCCCGGGGGCTCAAAGAAGAGGCTCCAAACGTTGGTGGCTTGTCCAAAAATGCAAACCCGGTCATTCTGCCTGCCGAATGGTCTCTCTCCATTTCTGTGCTACTTTCAAGGACCCAAGAGCAAAGGGATAAAAAAATACTGCAAGGCAACCCACAGTTGGAAGTCTTCTCAGAGAGATGGACCCATCCCACAAGGTTCAAATTAGGAGCCAATGTTTCCTACATATCGGGTGCCCAGCTCAGAGGTTGAAGATGAATCACAAAATCATCAAAAAGTAGGACTGGAAGAGCCCGCAGGAGGTCACCTCGTCCAACCCCTTGCTCAAGGTAGGATCATCCAATTCCAATTAAACTAGAGACTTATAAAGCATAACAAAGATTTAGCCATGACCTTTGGCCTTCTGTTTTGATACTCTTTGGTTAAAGTCTTGGTGCAATCTGACCTTTTTATTAAAGTTTGAGTGTTTGGATTCAGCTATTTCACTTTGGGCCCACCTCTCACACCTAGCTCACGTTTGCAGGGGTAAGCGCTCTAAAATTATTTGCAATTTCTGATAGTTTGTCTAAAGGGAACCCGTCTTCTGCACCTCTCGAGGTCTGCTGTTCACTAATTCCTTTTACGCTTGCAACCCACGTTCCCTAATGACACAAGTGATTAAGCCACATACACTATGACACTATAACACATCCTCGTTACAATAGCTGCGTGTGCGTTACTGTCTCTGATTTTCATGAATGAACTTTTGGTGCTTTAAAGTGATGTTTCTTCTCAGCTAATCTGATTCCAATAGGTAATTACTATGAGGAATGGAAACTGGTTTTTTTCCTATAATGGTCTCAAGAGACCTGCTCAGAACACAGCATAAGCACAGCTAATTTCTGGTGGCAAATGAGACGGAAGAAAAATAGCTGAATTTTTCTCCGGACAACCAAGAAAATGAAACTTCTTCATGCATTAAATGGGGATATCTTAAAAAAAAAAAAAATCTTTAGCAATTAAATTGGAAATTGCAAAACATGAAATGATTCAACCGTGACCCTTGGACTTCTGTTTTGATTCTCTTTTGTTACGGTCTTGGTAAAAAATCGTATTAAAAAAATAATCGGAAAGTGGAGCCTGATTTTTGTGAAAGCATTATGGATCTGATCCATAAGAAGCCTTTTCTACGGTATTTCTATCCAGATGAGAATAGAAAAACACTAGTCTCATTTAATAGTCTCTCTTCCCTGCAGCAAATCCAGCAGGTTTTGCAAAGCAAGCATCCAAACTTTTGAATGCATTCCCAGATACAACCTGAAATAATAAACCTGTATTGCCAATGGCTGAGCTCTCACTTCATTGTCAAAGCAGGTGTTGTATAAATTATGGATCTGAAGAGTTTTCTCTAGCCAAGGACACTGTTGTATCATATGCTCCGTTTGATCCAGAGCAGACAGTTATATAAATACATTACCGCTACTCTACAGTGATTCTTGATGGACTAATTAAACACCCCATAAAACAGTTACCAGTCTTAAATATAAACAGATAAGGCTGCAACGTTACAAATAGCTATGTTGCAAACTAAACTCCATGCGGATGTGGTTTAGTTGGCAACGTAGCAAACTCATTTAAATGGTAAAAAAAACCCAACCCTGCATGTGTACAGCGTGATACAATTAAACCACAAAAACGGCCAGTTTTCGTCACGTGTACAAGCGCCCTTCAAATCCAGATGGTTCAGCAATCTCTCCTAGCGGCAGGTTCATACTGCCCCGATGGACAGCTGTTCTTTGAAACGGTGGCCTAGTTCTCAGATACACTTTAGTGCCTTGATGCGCACTGAGATATAATGAGCATTTTTGCCTGCCTGAATATCATTTGGGGAGCACATGGAGAGGAAGAGTTGGCCGTGTCGCTTAAAATAGCACAATTTAACAGCCTTTTGCAGATGCCTTTCTGTTGGCTCCCTCTCGTCACAGGTTTCAAAGCATTTGGGGATGACTCTCTTGAGGAGCGGCTAGCACCAGAAAGTCCGTGGCTTTCGAATGTGGTTGCTTACAGCTAAAAGATCTTTTCCCAGCGTCCGCTTTGTCTGGATACACGGTGAGACCATCGAAAAGTGCAGCTATGAGCATGGGGCACAACCCTGAACTTCTATATGTCCCAAATTGCAAGGAGCTGAGATCTGCACCCAAACACTTCAGAAGCTTGGGTCACATCCCAAATTAGTAGCTGTCCTGTGCTTTCACAGTTGCCTGAACAAGAGGTTAGATCCAATCCTTACAGTTCAGCAAGCCTTTGCTCTGGTTCCTAATAAAGAAGAGATATATCATTCAGAGCTGGCAGGCGCTGACATAATTCCACTCTGATCAAGGGAGCAATGCCTGCTTTCATGCCATGTGTGAAATTGCCTTCTGCTTCATTAATGATTTGGGGTCTCAAATAATCATTTTTCTTGTTACTGTTGCAAGTGTTGTTATTAATACGGCTATTGTTTTATGCATTTGTATTACAGAAACGCTTCAGAGCCTCGGTCGCGGCCCAGAACACCAACTAAAAGTGATCGCTGCTTACTAAAGACCCAAGTATCCCTGAGCAATACTTGGTGGCGTTGCTTGCCAGGAACATGACTGCAATGGCCTGGACACTGGACAGGGTCATGTTTTTTTACTGGGCGGGCCCTGGGAAGGAGTCTCATTTTCACATGGCCAGACAATGATTCAGCCCTGCTTTTTGGCGAAAGAGGACAAGTTCCAGCTCAGCAACTGCCCAGAGGAAACACGAGCTGATGAAACAGGCCGCTCCTCTGCTCCTTGCCGCTAGAAATGGAGTTCCTCCTGGTGACGGCACCGCCTGTGAGTTCGTGGCTTGGGGCCTCGGTTTCAGCCACGTGCTTCAGTCACGTGGATGACGACGATGATGGTGATGGTGAGTCTTCATCAGTCGCATGGAAAGAGGTTTCTTTGCAGCATGAGACCTCCGCTTTCACTCTTCGGCAGCTGTTGCCAGCTGCTTGCAAAGCAAAAGGCCAAGGGCTGGCGTTGACTCCCATCGGCCAGACACTTCTCTTCCTCGGTCCAGGCAATCCACACGGAGGTGACTAACTGATGACTCAACCAGCCCTCTGCTAAGCCGCCCAGGCACCACCGTTAATCAGCTGAGGCTAGGGGAAGAAAGCACACTTCACACCCCTGCGATTCTTGGGCAAAGCTGGAGCAACACATGTGAAAGCTGTGAATGTTTCCTAGCCTGGAGGGGGGGCTGTAAAGACAACTCCTACATCTGCCTTGCATCTGTGCTAGCAAAGAACTGATCTGCAGGCTGGGAAAGCAGATAAAGTCCCCTTAGCAAAGGCAGCCATTGGAAAGTACAGCCGGGGCACTGATTCATATGGACAAATCTATTGCTTAAAAAAAGCCAAGCAGCATGAATGCGATTTCTGCGGGCATGGCAGGGGTGGCAAAGGAAGCGATGAGCATTAGCAGGGACATGTTAAAGCCACTACCACAGTATTCTGGAAAGCTCCCAGTCAACCCACTCCTTTATTTTGCCTGTCCCAGTACAGCATAAAAGTAAAGACCAAGTCACTGCACCGATATTTTTTTTTTGTGATTCATTCAAGTCATCAGCAGCGACTGGGTGGGAACAGTCCCTTCTCCAGATCGATCATTTTTCCAGCTGTTTGCATCCAGTGAACTTACCTTGTGACTCAAAACCTCCTTTTCTCTTTAGTTTCTTTGCTGTTGCTTGGGGAGCTTCATAATATGAAAGCTACTGTTCATTCAGCGGCCGGGCTGGTGGCTTCTGCTGCTTCAGTTTCCTTGCTGGTATCCAAATGAAACACGGAGCATCAGTCCAACTTCTTATGAAACTCAGCAGCTGGAAGTGCTGGCTGCTTGGGACAGAGCTGGGTGGCTGGCTTACAGCAAGTGGTGCAGCTTTCAGCTCCTCCTGGCCCTTTTCTTTTTTTTTCCTGTAGCCTCTTTGGCTCCTCTAACAGCAAGAAATGCAGGATTAAAAAAACCCCCAAAAACCACAAACAGCTCTCGTGGCCAGGAGGAAGTTAAAAATGCAAGAAATACATGGAGCTGGCTTTTCATTGGGATATTCAGCATCTTCTCAGAAAAAAAAGAAAAAAAAAAGTTTTGCATTTTATAGAGGAGACGAGGGCACCTGCTAGGATCCTCTAGCATAATCTGCAGCTGCTCCTGGGATCTTATAATGTGGAGGTGTTGCTCATCCCTGCCTGTAGTCCCCTAGCTGCCCCAGCGTGCAGCCCTTCATGCAGCCAGTTTTCTGTGCTCTGCTTTTCGTTATTAAACCAAAGCGGAGGTGGCTCCACGTCAGAGGAGGTTTAGGCAGAAGGGAGGGACGGCATGGAAAGTGTCTCCCTTTCCC